CACGTATCTCCCGCCACCCTCGACAGTGTGATACCCATTCCTTTGGAGAATCTTGTTGTATTTATACATACAACATCCACAAACATCTTGGCTTTTCAGTTTTCTTTGTTTTTGTTTTTGCCTTTTTCAGCTTTTCAGGAAAAGAAAGTTAGGCGGTGTTCACCGCCTAACTTTCTTCTCCTCGTTCAGTGAACGTAAGCATTAATTGTGCTCGCACTAATTTGTCGTGCGCACGATTGCCCAGAATGAGTATCAAAGTATTGTGAGCCGACCTCCTTGAAGTTGGCATACTTGAAGTATGCCACCATTTTATTTAATAAATTGCAGATTAATTTATACATATAAACTAAATATATCAACATCAGTTTAACGAGCAATTCATGCCATATGAATGTCTTCACTAGGTCAACTTCGCGCAACCGCGTGAACACTTGTGTGATAAACAGTACACACATAAAGACCCGATTGTGGCCGTCCCTTTGCATGAAGCCATATAAGACAATGCTGTTCACTGTGATGTATGCGCCCAGGCACACACAAACGCAGACACACACAATGCCCGGTTATGGAGCGCACTGCACACCACACAATGCCTGGCGGATGTACTCTTTCCGGAACCGTCGCGGCTGACGCATGTACGAACTCGTAGCGGCTGCCGCTCAGCGCGGACGGCAATTTCATTAATATCGTAACACAGACCGGACAGAAATAGCGGTCCCGGCTCTTGGCATAAGTGTCGACGCATTCAGCAAAGTTTTCTCTCAGGCGGGTGGGTTTTTCTCACGAGTTTTCTACCAGTGGAAAGGCTAAGGCACGACAAGCGACGGCAGCGGTTGAAAAGAGATGCAGATAGAGGTGTTTCTACCAACATGGGAAGGGTGAGGCAAAAACCAAGGTGTCATGCCTGAGGGGTGCGGCTCAACAGTGAATGAGAAGACACAGGTTTCCGTTAGATATTGGCGAATCGACAGCGATCGGTGACTGCGCTAACAAGTGACCATTTTAGGTGGATGTATGCACAAGGTAACGAGATGGCCCAGTAATCGGGAAGTGAGAGCGCCTGTCGTCCCGCAGATTGGCACAATTGCCGATCAAGGTCAGGACGGCCGTCTCTGTTGTGTCTCCATCAGAGACAACTGGATTGCGGTGATGGCTCCGGGCCGAGCTGAGAGCTGGCCGCTCACTTGAGTCGAGAGAGCCAATCGGCGCCCGGTTACCGCCGCCGCCGGACGGAGAGCTGGTAGCCGTGGGCGCCTACAGCGTGACACGGCAGAGAATAGGCCAGGTAAGGGCCGCTGGATCGCCACTAAACCCGGCCAGTCGTGGGTGATACTGCCGCGGACAGAGAGATCACGCCGGTCGTAAGGCGGCGGCGGCCGGGGTGGAGCCGTTCGAGAGGGACGCCGTGGGCCGTGCGCGCCCGGCGGCCGGTGTCGCTCGCGCTGCCAGTCCCCGCCAGATCGTCCTGTCGCCACTGGCGGCGCCGCCCTGACATATGTCGGTGCTGTAACCGGCGCGTGACGACGCTGCGTCGGTCCGACACCACTCGGCCGCGTCCACGCGACCGTTTGTCAAGTGTCCCGGCGCCAGTTGCGAGGCAAAACACCGGCGGGCCCGCAAAAAGCCGCAGATCCGTCCAAACATCGCGCATCGCGGACCGGAGCGCTTGCTCTCCGCTCTTCAGAGCCGTCAGGTCGGCGAGCGCCGCAGCCAGACCCAGTCAGGTCGGTGGGCGCCGCACCCTAGACCCAGTCAGGTCGGCAGGCGCCGCACCCAGACCCAGTCAGGTCGGTGGGCGCCGCTCTACTACACCCATTCGTTAGGTCCGCGGCCGGGTCTCTCTGGAGCTGGATTCTTGAGGATAAGATAAGAGGTCTGTGGAAAAAAGATCGGCCCTTAGGAGAAGGTAAGGTTTCCCGAAAAAGGAATCCGTCCGTTACAGAAGGAGGGACTGTTCTATAGAAGCGGGAGGACATCTGAAGCAGCGCTATGTCCTCTGGAAACGGAAAGTGTCCGATGTCCAATGGTCCAGCGCTGGAGACGGGAAGCTTATACTATTATGAGTTGCGACCAAAGCTTGAAGGGAACACGTTTTGAATATAAGTGTTCCACACAATTCGATTTTAACCGTTTGATGAACAGTCGTGCTCAGTGTTCATTTCCCAATGCTGGCTAATGTAATCCGAATCTAATGGGTTTTGTGTACCGCAAGGCAATCGCCTTTTTCTGGACGTAACCTCTGCACAACTGCGACCTCATTTAGATGTGAAAAGAAGTCTTATCGCCAACTGATGCACTTACATGGGACACAGCGAATAGCTCGTTCACAGTAATTCATGAATGATAAAGGTGGATTATACAGACGGACTTTATGATCCGCGATTCTGTACGCCAATGTGTTTTTCCCCATACTTGTCTTTATGACACCGCACTCACAGGTAATAGTCTGGTGATGGAGGCAACCTTTGCAGTTTGCATACACGGCCTCAGTAACAGGACCGCATGACATTCACTCTGTACGGTATATGCAGACAGATGAATGCACCCTGAATGCAGCGTATAAGTATTTACCTACTGTGGGCCGACGGACGCCTGCTATCGTCGGCACACTGGGCGAGCGGGGGCGGGGGCGTCGGCGGCGGCGTCTCCCCGCCCCTGTCGATGGACAGACTGGGTCACTGGATCGCCCATCCTGGCGGCCGATCTAGGACAAGCCGGTTGTTGCCAGGCACCCCTGCGCCAGAGTACGGACGGCGAGAGCCGTGGTGGCTGGACGCCGAGTGAGGGAAAGGGAAGAGGGTTATGGAATGGACGATGGATATTCCAGTGAATGCATGCTCGAAAAACTGTCTCCTTCGCTTCTAACGGAACTGACGTCAATCGGACGAAGTTCCTCAGCTTCTAAGGTTGCACTCAGCTCAGAGATCTTCTCGACTTAGACTCACTGGTGATCCACATTCAGGGAACGCCAGTCTCAGCCGGTGACAATTACCGTATTGGGTTCCCTGGAACGGCCGCCTCCTGCGGACCACTGTTGACGCCGGGCAGCGGCTCGGAGTTCCCAGAGAGGGCGTGTCTGAGGTCCCGGCGGCACCCTGGTTCTCTGCCCACATCCGGCGCGCACCCCTCAACGTCACGTCGCCCCGCGACGCACGTAACGACGCCGTTACGGTCAGCAGTACCGTCACGGCTGGCTGCAGCACGGACGGCACGCTGAGGTCAGAGGTCTGCTGGGGGTGAGGGGGAGGGGCTGCCCAGAGACGGAGATGCCGGGAGGGGTGCCGCCCAGAACCAGACGCTGTCTGTGGCTGCTTATAGCCCGTTTATCGGCCTAACTTTGTAGACACGTCGATCAGGACCTAAACGGTTTTGGTCTGGGTCAGTGATCTCTTCGCATAAATATAACTCAATTTGTAAGACTAGCCTCCATCAGATTGACATGTTCCTGTTGCCATAGCATACATTCGTTATAATAGGTCTTCTTTTCCAGCATTTGGGATGAATAAAGCGAGATAAACGTTTTTTTTGCCTTTTTTGTAGGCGACCTGACGCACGCTACCAAAGAAGTGCACTGCAACATATCTGAAATGTTACTGAGCTATTTTGAGCATATCCTGGACGTTTTTGTTATAATAATCACCGAAGCCACACAGCCACTCAATGGGTTACGCACAGTGGACTTGGAACGCCTCTTACGTAGCTCCCCGAGTTCTATCCCCACCGATGGCCCTCAGTAATGCTGAGTGATGGGGGTAAACCTCTAGTGATGCTGACCCCCTCGGCGTTATACGGCAGACGTATGTATTTACTGGCTACTCTGACGGTCGTGGAGGACCGTGCCGAGACGGGCCGTCGGGTCGGACCTGTGTCCGGCTACACTGATCCTAGCGAGACGTGTCTGCCGCTCACCGGCTGAGCCCATCCTAACGGCACGCCCACACGGCCGCCGGACTGCAATTACCCCCTCATATCCTCCAGAAATGGAAAGGAGCCGCCGCCAGAACGGCTGCTCTGAATATAGGCATTGGCAAAACAGACACGGCTGACGTTACCACTAACCATGAGTTCTAGTGGACGTAAATAATGCTGTTTTATCAAACAATTCTGTAGGGCTGTGCGTGGTGTGGTATAACCATATTTGGCATCGTTTGGTTCCCATTCAATAAATATTTGGATGCGATAGCTAAGTCCCCGTCTTACTGCCACCCTGATGCCCGGGTAGCACTGTGCTTTTTCCCGGCTTGGGATCGGTGGCCGTGGTTCGTGACCCGGATGCATTCTGTGACCTGGCTGCTGCGTTGCTTTTTTGCCTGCCTCGGGAGCGGTGCAGGCCGCGGTCTGTGACCTGGCCGTCGTCCGTGACCTGGCCGTCGTCCGTGACCTGGCCGCGGTCCGTGACCTGACCGCGGTCCGTGACCTGACCGCGGTCCGTGACCTGGCCGCAGTCCGTGACCTCGCCGCTGTAATTTTTTGCCCGCCTCGGGAGCGGTTGCCGCGGTCCGTGAACTCGCCGCCCCTCATCGCTATCGCCCGCCATCGTCCATCGACCGGCGATTCGGTAACTGTTGACTGGCGATTTGGTAACTGTTGACTGGCGCTCATCGGCCGGCGCCGGATGTTGCCCAAAACGTCCACCAATATGCCGGCTGTTGAACTTTGGCCGCTGACGCTGACAGACAATCAGCTGACGCTCGATTGGTAGCCCATACCCCCTTGGTGACCGCTGACCTCTTTGAGCTACTGCATCGTTAAGCCGGTGTCTTACTTTGATTCGTTCTTTTTTTATTCTTTATCCGCTTATTTATAGCGATTCCTGGATTCCCTGTCTGATTTTAAAAACTGTTTCATCCTTCCAATTGCAATGAGTGCATCATCACGATACACTTACAGCATACATAACATACGTCATCAACATTTCTATCGCAATTCTGAGCGTCTCTGTCCTGTTTGCTCCTATGTCTTCGACCATCTGCCTGACCCCCCTCGTTTCTGCTCCTCAGGTCCGAAGGGCGTGACCACCGACCGTCGCGGTAATCTTCTGGTGGTGGATAACCGGGGCTCTGCGGTGGTCACTTTCTCCACCGGGGGACGTCTGTTGGCCCGGTTCGGCAGTCGCGGCACGGCGCAGCACCAGTTCGCGGGACCGCACTACGTGGCCGTCGACAGCCAGGACCGCGTGGTGGTCACCGACTTCCACAACCACTCCGTCAAGGTGGGTCACGGGTCGGTGCGGCCGGTTACATTGGTCACGGGGCCAGGGGTATGGTCATTGGTCACGGGTCAATGGGTATTTGAGTTTTCACGTTTGTAGGATGGGGGACGTTCATTTGATCAGTAGGTTGACCACAGAGTCAAGTCTCGAAGAGAATTGTTTCGGGTGTAGGGGTCACGGGGTCCAAGAAAGCTGTCATGAGATCAGAAAGGCTGGTCACGGGGAGGAAGATATTTTCACGGAACAATGTTGAGTAATGAAGGCAATCAGGATGGGATTAGGGGGGGGGGGGGGAGGCTGGGTTTCACATGAAGTACCAACTCATAATTATGTCAACCATGGTCTTAATTCTACGTAAGTAGGCAATACCCATTAGCTTGATAATAAAAACCCAGGATTATCTGTGCTTCTGAGACCGGAGGACGCCCGTCAGACAGATGGATCCGGTTCATGACTCGTACAGAATGGACACCACCTAAATCCACAGCGGCGTTTCTGCGAATGACCGTGTCACGTTTCAGTTGGGTGGTGAAGTTCACCATCGGCGTCATATTTTTGCTGGTTAAGGTATGAAAATAAACTCAGACTGGCGCTAAACTATGATTGTTTAAAACCAGCGTGACTGCGCCAAACTTTTGGAGACGGTCTTTTACAAGTTGAATCCATTGCGTTTGTTATCAGACTATGGCTATTCATTTTGAAATGAGTTATGCATGATTCATGAACTTTCTCTTTAGATCATGGTACTATAATTTCATTCAACTGGTGACAATGCTCCAACTTACCGGGTGGCCCAAAAAAAAAAACGTTCCGAACTTTGGAGTCCTATATCTCAAATTCGAGTGCAAATAACGAGCCAAAATTGTCATCAAGGTTGCGTCACTTCTTTGCGCATTGGTATGCCAAATTATAACACTGCACCATCATTTTCAAGCCAGCAATCTTATGTTGAATTAAGTAAGGCATTTTTGCATTTTTTGCCGATGTTGAACGGTATTGATGATTGGCTTAGACATACTATGTTAGAAAGAAATGGAAAAAAGAACACGTGAATGAAACCAGCACGTGTGTTGTTATTTTAAATATTTTTGTCCCACTTAGGTAGGTGCCAAATATTCAAATACTGAGCCAAAATAGTGGTAATGGATGCCATTCGTTTCAACAACCCCTTTTCGAGCAGAAGGAGTGGCGAGTGGCACGGTGCATGGGTTACTGCTGATAGCCCTCCCTTCAAGAAGATCAAACAGTAAATCGACCGAATAAGGAAAAAAGCTAGAGGGAATGTGTCACCCTGAGGCCTGAACCATCAATGAGACTAGTTGCCAGTAGCAGTCATGGCTGCAGGCCGTGGTGCCGTGATGGAAGTGGCCCGTTCACTCACATTTTTTTAGCAAACATCTGAGCAAAAAAGTAATTTTTACATGGCATGCTAAAAACACGAACCGTTTAAAAAGTAATTGACCGAATGACATAAAAATCATACCATTTGCTGAAAATATATGCCGCATTGACTATTGGAAGTTGTAATGTTGTATCTTTATCACTTTCTGAGAAATATTGATTTAAAGTTGGGAACGTTTTTTCTGGGCCACCCGGTATACCCCTAAATCAGAACACCAACACTCTATGCTCGTTATGCAAGCACATCCACGTAAGGGCTGTCGAGTAAATCCCGCACCACTTATTGTGAAGCATCTGCCCAGTAGACCATGCAGGATGCGCTGTAGTGCAGTCTAATTGTTCTCCTCCGAGCACTGAGCGCTGAGTTGCTCCATATGCAGGGAAAGGCTGGACGAACTGACATTTGACCGACACCATCTCACCAAATGACCAAAGGAAGGCTGCCAACTGCAGCTAATGATAATCAGGTTAAGTACATAAACGTTCCCTTTTTGCAGCTCCCTTCTGTTATATAACCCATCACATATATTAACCTGGAACGGGCCTGGACTCTGTGGCAGACCAGCCGCGGCGGTGAGCCGGAAACGCCGCTCGCGTTAAATGTCGCCGGCCAGACGTCGGGTGGGCGGCGGGAGACGGACCGTGTCCGACTGCCAGGGCCCGGGCATCACTCGCCGCGAGTTTTGCGGGTCACAACACGGCACGTGGACGGGCTGATTGGAATTATGGCGCACATGTGCTCAGCAAACGTCATCGTAACAAGCCTTGGATTTTGCAAACGATCTAAATTTCCAATGGGTGGCCAATATACGCACTTTCTTGATTTAGAAAACAGAACAAAAACGGCTAGAACTGGTAAATTGGGTGTGATATGAGGAAAACATCGAATTGGTTCTACTGGTTGCTGCTTCTCAACATAATGTGGAACACATCAACCAGTAGCGGAGGAACGCATTCAGTTAAAGGGGGGCACTGCCGACATTTGATCCCATTCTTACCATGGAACGTCCATAGGACTAATGTTAAAATGCCAAAATCAAAGGAGGGCACGGTGCCCCGGTGCCCTCCCCGTTCCGCCGCCTATGACATCAACCAGTCATGGAATATCTAAGACAGTTTTTGAAGCATCTTTGGCGTATGTAAAACGATCACAATTCAGTTTGCTGTAAGATGCACATTGCAAATTCCACAATTTAGCTCGGCTCAAGCCGCACAGCTGCAAACTCGTCTTGCGGCTCGGTGGCATCACCCCGTGCGGCTGCCGTCGGAGCAGAGGTAGGCTGTACCGCATCACTCCGGTGCACGGCGGCACAGCCTACCTGCTCACCGCTCCGGCGGCCGCTCGTCGGCGCGGCGCCTCGAGACTACAGACCGTCCGTCAGCCGTCTGCTGTTCAGAGAATGAATGTGTTTGGTGAGGGTGACGTCATGTTTACGGTTTACCCTGCCATGATAACACGGAGTCAACATGATGAGTGAAGTGAACCCATATTGTGGCATACCGGCAGAAATTCTAGACTAATGGGTTCATAAAGTCCGTTACAGTCCAGACGGCAGTTCAGATGCTGTTGCTGTGCAAGTGGCAAACATGGAAATGAGCAAACAGACATCCAGTCGGCACCAGGCACCAGACAGAGTAGCTATGGAAAATGCCAACGGATGCCTTCCACGGCGTCCATGATCAATACTAAATCTAGGCAGCGTGGGTCAGACATGGCTGTGTCAGATTCTCGTATCAGTCGGTGCTTTACACAAATCGCCATGGTGATGCAAACATTCATAAGCTCAGCTATCAACTGTTCTTAACAACTGGTATCTCTTACAGCCGGTATGTTGTGCATAAATGTAATACTAGAGGAATGTCAGTTCTTATTGAGATGAACGACAACTTCTGGGCAATTGAGGATTTTCAGAGGCCATACCTACTAGTGATGTCAATCGGTTACCGAAAATTTCGGTTACCGAAAAGATATGCTGACCGATTCGGTAATCGGTCGGTCAGGCCCCCCAAAAATCGGACACTTTCGGTCACCCTGCCAGTGAAACCATTTTCAAAAAGAGAAAGTATTCCATTTTTGCCTAGTTAAAATGAAATTTATTGGGATGTTAATGATAAAGAGTTGCAAAATTTCCCCCAAAAGCTACAAGAGATGCCACATTTTGGCAACTTCAGTACCGATCCTGATCCCACCCAGCAGGCAGCAGCCACCCATTGTGCAACCACAACTACAAGCAGGCTGATTTTGACTCAGTTGGCCCCACAAATACACACAATTTCGAAACTCAATTCCAGTCTAACTGTTAAGATATCACCTGTAATCAAAGAAGTATTGCCTACAAAAATCATTATACAGTGATCAAAAATGCAAGGACAAAAAGAACTTGAATTACTGAAATGTGTTTCTGAAGACTGGACAGTTAGCACTAAGCACTTAGCAGTGATCACATTTCAATTTACATTTCACAGGTGTTCTACTATTCCACATTCTCCTTAAATATTGCAGGTACCAACCAAATGTTTGAAATCTAGATGACCACAACATAAAAACATAGGAATCTTGATAAAAACTAGAGGGCCATGTCCGCTTTCTGCATCATCTCCAAACACAAGGGATTTTGAAACAGATGCGCCATAACAGCGACTTTAAACCAGCTGATTAAGTTGCTGCAAAAAAGGTTTTGGATTGTTACATGCTGCCTCGTGAATGATTTTATTGATGTTAATGGTCCAACACGATTTTGATTTGAAGTCTAATGAAATCAACATTGTAAGTGTAATTCACTACAAGAAAATTAGTTTCACTTCAATAATTCAACCAAAAGGGCATATAAATAAATATTACGTCATCGTCTTACATCCTTTAGTTAGGGAAGAGAGGATCTTAAAAGTCAATCCTTGGTTCTACTTGGGTTCTACTGGGTTCTACTATTATTTTGCGCCACTTAATTTTGTCTGCATATTGTGTTTTCTTGTAAAGATAAGACAAAGTGCCAGTTTAATGAATTTTCATTTCATTTTTGGGACGAAATTCAGGCTCAGAGCTACCTAATACCTGCCTTTTCAGCTGGATTTTCAGTGTCAAATTCTTCGTAGAGTATCTCAGACCACATCTCAAGACTCAAGGCCAGTTTCCAAGCAGTGTTGATGTGTTTTGTGGTGTTTTGATTCTGCCTTTTCTCCTAGGGGATGTTGTCATGAACATACCTATTACCAACCATTGGACTTACTAATTGATCGTGCTTTTGCAACATAATGAGTATTCTTCCTTACATTGTAGACCACAGCAGATTCTTGACAATTCTAATTAACCAAATCTGTGAAATGCTGAGGTCCATGTGTTCCTAGTCTACCCTTAGCAATGTAACTTCTACCACAAAATGTATTTTGCAGTGGCTAGGAATTGACTGAATTTGGACTGAAATGCCATTTCCCATTATTTTCCATCAGAATTTACCAATTATTTTAATTTTGGGGTATAGTAATAGCAAATAGAATTTCGGTCAAATTTCGGTCAAATTTTGGCTTGGGATGTTATCGGTCGGTATTCGGTCGGAAATTTTTCCCAAATTTTGATTTCGGTCGGTATCGGTCAGACATTTTTTGGAAAATGACACCACTAATACCTACCATCCCGGATGCAATACATTTGACGTGAAAGCAGCATTTTGTGTTGCAACATTGGCGTTTATTAACCCGCGCGGGGCTGGGGGGGGGGGGTAAATTTTACCCCCCCCCCCTCGCGAATTTTTGCAATATCTCAAAAACGGCGGCGCGCAGCGCCGCCAAACATTCAGTACCTTTTCTTACATCAATGTGACACGTTCCCTGAAAATTTGAGCGAAATCCGTCGGAAAATTTTTGAGAAATTGACGTTTTAGTGACGTCATGTTCGCCATTTTCGCCTTAAAAACGGCAAAAGTTCAAACACCGCTAACATCTTCATTTTTAAAAGAATCAAGACGTAGCAAAAAAGGATATACGTAATTCTACTATGTCTATCAAATGGCCATCTCGGTTTCTTGAAAATTTTGGATTTTGGCCCAAATTTTTCCAAAAAACTGACTTTTTTGGGAAAATAGCTATAAAATCCAAAATTTTGAGTGTATCGAAAAAAACCGGAATATATGTCAGAGAAGTGGTCTATGTGTACCTACATACCAAGTTTTAGAAGAATCGGTTCAAAAATGTGGGAGTTATTCAAAATTGTATGACGTCACGACACACAAAAATTTTGAAAAATGACTTTTTTGGAAGTTCTAGACCTCGTACGGAAACAAAAATAGCACCATTCGACTCGCCGTGAAAAACTGCATCAGATAGACACCTTTTTAGGCCTTAGCAACCAACTTCAAAATTTGACCTCACTTGACCTGACCTTGACCTGACCTCGACCTGAAATTCATCCAGAGGTGGTCTATATCACTTATTGAGTGTGCCTATTGAATTCTATGAGTAAAATGACCCATAAAACATGTGTCGCACATGCCCTTTTCTATATTTTGTTTTTGGTGACCTGACCTGACCTGACCTGACCTTGACCTTGACCTCTGAATGATATTGTATGCAACGAATATTGTCTTGGTAGCCTAAGAACACGTTTTGGGCGATCAGTCTCAGTCCATGACTCCATTCTTCGGCAACTACGGTGCAAGGCCGATACTGTAGGAACTTGCAATTTGTACCCTTGACCTGACCTTGACCTTGACCTCAAACTTAAAATTAAGTACATGTTTTTAGTTGTTCGTGATGAGATCTTTCGATTGGCGTTTGAATTTTCCAAATCGGACCATTAGTTCGGGAGATAACAGGGGGGGGGGGGGTAAAATTTACCCCCCCCCCCAGCCCCGCGCGTTCGGCTGGAGACCCCAGCCCCGCGCGGGTTAACGGAAATGGTTCACTTCCATAAAACATTGTTAGATATTGTGTGCTATGAATGCTTGACGCATCAAGCTCGAACTTCAAATGAGATAATTACGATTATGGGCTCGGACGACTTCACGTCTCAATATTTTATTTTCTAACAAATAAAGTCATTTATCCAATCAGTCAGCCACTGCCCACTTGGGAATAACTGCACTACCAATGACCAATTGCGTCACTGATAAATTATATCTGTTTAAACAAGAAGAGGATTGCTTGGAGTTGGAGCTAAACGGTTTGGATCAGTGACCACTGACCAATGACAATGAAAAAAAGTCATAATTCTTCAAAATGTGAATGTACGCCAAGAAACAGGATGTTAAATATTGTCACTCTCAGGTTCAACTTCTAAATGTTATAATGAACCAGCCAGTTTGATTTATTCGACGCTGTGTTAGATGTTGACTGGCAGCTTTTGCAAAAAAAAAAAAAAAAAAACAGTGCTTCCTTCCATGAGCTGAATGCCAGTCCATTCAGCCCGTTCAGTCTGCCTTGTTCCTCCTGGTCCTGTTGTCTACCCAACCGTCTATTTTGTTGGCTGTAACCTACCCGTTTTCTAACTCTTTTTTTTAAATTGCGCGTTCTATTCGCCAGGTGTTCAATGCGGACGGTAAACACCTGTTCAGTTTTGGCGGGAACGGCGAGGCTCCTGGTCAGTTTAACGCGCCAACCGGAGTCACCACAGACCGCTACGACAACATTCTGGTGGCCGACTGGGGAAACAGCCGCATACAGGTGCGTTATAACTGGGAAACAGCCGCATACAGGTGCGCTATATGTAACTGGGGAAACAGGCGCATTCAGATGTGTTAGAACTGGGGAAACAGCCGTAAACAGGTGCGTTATAACTAGGGAAACAGCCGTAAACAGGTGTGTTAGAACATATAACTGGAGAATCAGGCATAGTGGGACAAGGGCAACAGTCGAACGCAGTGATGGGCGATTAAAACTTCGATAGCAGTTGTGTACACAGGCCATTTAAAGGATGGCATTCGCGTATGCGCCTTCATTGAGCGAAGAACCACCTCTGTACCAGACTTCCGGAGGGCTGACCCAGCTACCCTCCCCTAACGACCTGGCGGGCGCTAATGGGCTGTCAGACGGCGCCAGGCGCTCTGTTTTATCAGCATTTTGATGGGCTTGTCCAGCCGCGGCCCGAGATGAGAACCGTGTCGCTCCGACGCCGCACCTCCAGTCCTGCGCCGCGGCTGTTTTGACGCCGCGCTGTGCGAGGCGGTGGGGCCCAGGGTGTTGGGGTCTGCGGCGGTGCGTCTGAGGAGGTGGCCACAATACGCCACCGATGTCGGGACCGCAGGCGCCACTCTGGCGGGCAGACGCGCCCCGCACTGGCCCGGCCGTGTATACAGATATATGTGCGTCGTCATGCCAGGCGCCAGCGAACCGTGGTAGTCGGGTCACTGTTAAACGAGCCGCCCGTTCTTCCTGTTATTTTGTTTGATATTTCGGTTTAAATCATGTGTGGCTGATGGTACTTAGCTCCACGACGTGATATCTGGGCAAAGAGCATCCGAACGAAATCATTAGGATTTTAGCGGTGTCGCTCTTGTGAGAATCCATCGCCTTGCGTCCCATTTACAATGGTTTGTGTGGAGAATTGATGATTGGTTTGTATTGGAAGCTGATCTCCGTCCTAGTGTTCTCCGTCCCAGCGTTGCCGCCCAGTGCAGAGCTGCGTTCCGTTTCTTTCAACGCCTCGTCCCGTTTGGTGTCTCTCTCCGTTCACCATTCTGTCCTGACACCGCTGACTCTATTACAGGTGTTCGACAACACGGGTCGGTACCTGTCAATCGTCAACACCGGCGCTACTCCGCTCTACGGACCGCAGGGTCTGGCCATGTCGCCGCAGGGACACGTCATCGTCGCCGACACGGGCAACCACGCCATCAAGTTCTACACCTACCACCCTCTGGCAGCGTAACACCCGTGATGGTCTCCACTGCCGTGCCGTCCTGTTCCGTGCTGCGCTGTGCCTCATGTGCCGTGCCGTTCTGAGCCTACCATACCACGCCGTTCCTGCCCTTGACGGCTGGTGGCTGAATGTTGCCCGGCGCGCCTGGTCCGTCCCCAAAGGTCGAACCCCCCCGATACCTGTACCCGGGGAAGGCGGCTGGCGGGGTGCGCCGGTCCGTCCCCCGTCCACCCGACGGCGTACCCCGAGGCTGTTTACGGCGACCGTGTTTGTGTGGCAACCACTGCAATCCTGCGGCGGACCACTAATATCTCCGCCTGCATAAGACAGTCGCTGTGGGCGCCTGGTGCTTTATTACGAACGGAAGTGCAGAGGGAGAGAACGTACGTACATTGGCAGTCAGCGCAGAGTGCGCCGTGCTATTTATCAGACAGGGAAAATTTCCCCGTGAATGCTTGCTGTCGATGTATAATACGGGGTTAGGTCTGGAGCCTGTCCGAGCTACGCTGTCAGCCGTACTTAGGAACTGATTATTATTGCAGTGGTCCTGGTGGCTGCTTGGACCGCGGTCCGTTTATATCCAGCCGAGCCCGTGCGCCTTTCGACGCACCGCTGAGCGTGGAAAACAGCCCGCTCCTGCTGATGTAACCGTCCTATATTACTGCACTGATGAACGGTGCCCCTGTGCGGTGTCATAAACGATAACAGGTGGTACTTCTAGCACGTGTCAGGGGCGAGGGACATGGCGGCCCACCGGGACGGCGACCCTTCTGTGCCTTCTGGGTAGGACGGGGAGAGGCGAGGTGACGGGTCCTCTCGTGCTGATGGACTGGTAAAATGATGTAAAAATGTTACATCGTGCGGCGCTGGTGCTCGAAGACGTTACGAATTATGGGATGGTATTTATTGAACGTAATTTACTTGTGCTTTTGTTAAAATATTTAAATATTAAAACAAGGGCTTCTGTATGTTTTTTAGATTTTCGTGCGCTGTAGTGTTGATCTTTTATGTGAATATTCGACAACCACATGTCACGATGGGCGGTGCTATAGTTGCTACTTATGGCCTGCTGCGTTTGCTAGTATTACTTCACTTTTGTGGTAGTGGCATTATTGCAATAGCCGCTAGCGACCGGCCGAAGTGCTGCTTCTTTGGCCAGTTGTTGGTTTCACTGAGCTGTGTGGCGCGGGGTATGGAGCCAGTCTGACTGGGATGGGGGGGGGGGGCGCTGGGTTGAACCGGGTGATGTCTGCCTATCTGTGAGTGTGTGGACGTCCGCGGGTCTCCCCAGCTGCGCCGAATGAGTCACAAGTTCTGGGTGCCGGGTCACTCGCACTCCAAGTACCGTATATGTGCAGCACGCCTAGCTTAGGGCGCCGCGTCTCCGGCACGCGACGACTCGCCATGGACCGCTGTCGGGCCCGAACCGTTTTTGGATACAATATACGCTGTGTCACTGCGTGGGTCTGTTGCTTGTTCGAGCTTGATAGTTGCGGATAATTTTTGACTTGTGTGTTGTATGCGTCGGTTGTATGCGTCTGTTCCCAAAAGCTATTCAAATCTAAATCTGATAGGTATATCATATTCATATTCTACGTGGACACTTTGATTTTTTTTGCATATGATATTCAAATTTCGGTTTATGAACAACGTCACAAAATTTGGCTGGCCTTACGTCATGTAATAACTGCGGTAGTAACTTGCGATATACCGAACGCCTGCCACGTGCGGTGTGCGCGCCTGGTGTGACTAGATACGACATGAGATTGAAAGCACATTTGTTGATCTTATGAACGTCGCACGGAGCTGTCGTCAAAATACATCTCATGTAACCAAACCAGTCATTGGTCTCACACATGTAAGTACGTACATGTCAGCTGATGCAATTCTGTTATGATTATAATACGTACTTTGAAATGCGTCCATCCCCGAGGCATTATTGGTCACCTGCAATGATTTCCATTCCAAAGGCTCGATCATTTTTACTTGCATTAATTACGTTATACTCGCCCTGCAGCTGTGATGTAAGGTGTGTGAGAATTATGCAGTTGTTTAGGACTGGATCACATCCACGGGGTCTGGTCTGAGACAAACAGAGCCCACGTGTAGCGTCGGGCCTCCGTCACGCCCGGCCGCCGTGGCCTGCTACTTCTGGATCGTGTCAGTCACGATAACACGATCAATATCACACGTTGGCAGCCACCGATAGGGTGGCGTGAGCTCCACCCAACCAGCGACAATGGACAGGCGTTATGGATGCATGAAATGATGCAAACATATAACTGATGCGGAGTTTTCTTGAATGTGAGCGTAACTCAAAGGATCAGAATAAATGACGATTCGTAAATTCCATGGTTTTTAATGCAATGGTGAAAATAAATATTTTTAGCCAATTAATACTACAAGTAGGTACGTTCGCTATTTATTGTTGCCACATTACGATCGTCTCTGCAGGTCTATTGATACTGTAACTACGACATAATGCTAATTGATATAAGGTAATTTACTGATACAACATGCGGTTAAAATATGCCTAACAATAACTGAGGTCTTTTGTGGTATGCAAAAAGAACATGGTCATTAGGCCATTTTGTAGGTACATAAGCTCCCCTAATTTCCGTCCGAAGAACTCGCGGAAGATAATAAGCACCTTTAATTGGCCAGATCAATGCGCTTCTCGGTTGCTATTTGGTTGATTTCATTATAAGTAAATAGCATAGGTAGTAGGTACCCACATCCGGACTGAGACCAAACGCGTAGCTGCAATTGCTATTAGCTTTGTAGCTGCTCTCCTAGATACAGCGGCAGCAAGTTTTTTTCTAGAAAAGTCGCATGTTCAGCATTTGTTATCTCGCTGAAGACGTAAATCATTGCCGGAGAAAAACCGCACCTGGGGCTCCCGGCCGGCCAGATCATTGTCGTAATGCTGAAATGGATACCTGCACCACCTGGAAATTGGAACGATCGTCTCTACTGAGGTCTATTGATACTGTAACTACGACATAATGCTGCAGCTAATATCCCGGAAATGTGCGACTTTTTCGACAATTCCGGGAGGTTATTTGATGAAGCAGAGATGAGAGAAGCGGAAGCTAGAAAAAGAAAAGCAATACTTTTCTTGTAGCCAAGGTCGTTAGATGGCTCTTTATCGTATCTTATGCACGTAAACAGCCCAAGACCACAATCTTCGCGCTCCGCCAGTCCACGACACGCTCATCGTTTCTGCCCATGGATCTCTCGTCTCTTCTGTTGGTTCATTCCTTTAACCCATGATCCTCCAACCACTCCAAACCGCAACTCTCCCGACCCCTCAACTCATGATCTTCCCGCCTCGTAAACCCACGATCCCCAATCCTTTCTGTCCGCAATCTTCCCGTCCCTACAACTCATGATATCCCTTCAGCCCACGGTTCATCGACTTGTTCGTCCCTCATTCCATAGTCATCCCTTCACCGAGCCTACAAACCTCCCAATTTCCAACTCATTCAACCCACGTCTCTCTGGCCCACCCCGTCCCGTCCTGCACGATCCTTCACGGAGTTTGGAGACGGCGCCCCGCCAGTTCCGTGGGAGGGACAGAATTACTGCGGCCCGGTCTGTCTCCACCACAGACATAGCTCACTGGGCGTTCACTCACATAGCTCACTGGGCGTCACTCGCATAGCTCACGGGCCGTCACTCGTGGAAGTCTGGCCAGGTGGTGGCTCTCAGACCTGAAGCGTCCTTCTGTGGACTCATTGACCCGAGGGAGGGGGCCGCTGCTGCATCTGCCGGGAGGCAGTCCAGATGTTTTGGAAAATCTGGTCTTTAACCGTCTGCTTGATAGTAAAACTGCATGATGCATATGTATCATACTGTATTGGTGGTGACTGGTGTTAAAGTTACTACACATGAGCGAAGAAGCTTCTGCGTTTTACTGAATTAAAAGTTTCAAACTAGCAGACGGCTTCCAATAGTTAAGGTTACAATTAATTTAATTGTTAATTGTATGCTTGGCATCTTACTTCGGCATTGAAGACCCATTTCCATTTTAAGAAGGTCACTCAAACTAAAATGGACTAACTAAAAAGATAAAGTGCAAGTTTGGGCACCGTATGATAGAATGATTCAGCTTTCCTTTTAGCATCGACGCAAACAAACAAGCTAAGCAAGCCTCAAGCGCAAGTCCTCACTAACAATGCCGATAGTTTCGTTCGAACACATATATTTTTAAGGCATTCATCTAACAAGCCACTTGACCTACACTGTGAGCAGAACGAAAGTGAACTTTCCCACTTCAATTACCCTCGCGGGCCCGGGGCGTTTTCGCGCCCCCCCCCCCCCGACGAATATTAGTGATAGCTCGCGCTTAGGGATAGGAAGGCGAAACTTAATTAGGTATTCCCATCAATTTGACATCGTCTGGAGCAGGGCTGCGGAGTCGATGGATTTTCGGCGACTCCGACTCCGACTCCGACTCCGGCTTTAAAAAACCAGCTCCGACTCCGACTCCGACTCCGGGCAGAATTGTCGACTCCGACCGACTCCAACTCCCGACTCCGACTCCGCAGACCTAGCAGGGCTGCGGAGTCGACAGATTTTCGGTGACTCCGACTCCGACTCCGGCTCGGGTTTCTAAAATCGACTCCGACTCCGACTCCGACTCCGACTCCGCAGCCCTGGTCTGGAGTAAAACACAAACTTGGACATATAACTTTTTATGACGGCACAGGGTCGATTTTTTTAGACCCGTGCAAGGTAAATTTCGACTTCACAGACCTGAACTTCAAATAGCTGCCAAAAATAGTTTTAGAGTTAAAGACAAATTACGAGCATAGTTGTGTAGCATGTGACCTAGGGAAAAATACACGAATAATTTTGCTAGCCTGAGGTCAGAGGTTAGGTCAACGACCCCGAGCTGGGTTGTAAGTTTTTTTTTCTCAACAAAAATGGCCCAAGAGCTAAGGCAGTGGTATCAACACATTCTTCTTGTCAAGACGCGTCGAATGATATATATTTTATTTGGAAAAGGTTAAGGCTTATGTTGACCTCATGTGACCTTGAATGACCTCTAGTTGACCTTAGCACATGCTTGGCCTTATATGAAGTAGATATTCAGAGCCGATGATGACGAAGTTGGCATCCATTTTGTTCTAAGCATTCGTTTAGAGTCTCAGGATAGCAAAAATGACTTGATTATCATGGCTGACTTGAATCAGTGGAAAGGCCTCAAACAAGGATAATCTTGCGTGAGCTTGACCTTGCGGCAGCCTTGTATCGTAACCTGAACCATAAACAGATGCCTGATAAGCTTCAAGCTGTTTCAAAACATTTTGGAATCTACAAGTAGGTATACGGAATATACGAAATAGTGCAAAGTTTGAGGTCAATTTTGAGTATGACCTTGACCTTCACCTTTGAGCATATCGTCGGATTCCTCAGTTTCTCTACTTTCGTTTCCTACCCGGTTCAGCCGGTTTCATGCTTCTTGCCATCCTTTGGAACGCTTAGGTTAAAATCACTACACTTGTGCCGTTTTTCCTTTGATCTTGACCTCTGTCATTGAAAAGTGACTTGAGGACAAAATTTTAGGTGCTTTAGAATCTTCTCGCTGATACCTTTCGTTCGGCACCGCTTTTGTTTCCCCTTTTCGGAGTAAGCCGCGGCAGGGGGGGGGGGGGGTCCTTCGGACAGCGCCAGAGGTGGTTGGGAATTACTCCCGGGCCCGGCCGGTTAATGAAAGATTTGTGTCCCATCATTTTTTTTTAGTTAACCTGGTTAATTTTAAAGCGGTATGAGCAATAAAGACATGCTTGAAAACGACTTGCAACACGGCAAACATGTAATTTATGAGCAAAATGCTATGATGACATATTTCGGCAGCGAAATGAAATTTTCCGATAGCTCTACATCGCCTCCCATTTACAGGCACGCTTACATACATAGGGGAAGGTGGGGTAAGACGGCCCAGCGGGGCAAGACGGACCACCAGCCCTCCCGGCTGAACCGCTGCTGGTATCTACTGCTTTATGCACTCACTATGTTTGTTTTCCTTCGTAACAATGGCCACCTTGAGCTCATGCTGCTAGGATGCATAGCTTTTGAGTTATTGAGAAAAATGTTGTTTTTCGTCAAACCGATCTAATATAAGAGGTCTACGGGTGATTCAATTACGGCGCCTTTCTTGCATGATTAGTTTCTATTTTGCACTTAACTGTGAAGAACAAAGTTATAAACTTAGTTATAGTCACACTTTAGGAGAGGCAAGGTTTTGCAATGTTGGGCTATTTGACATATACGTCATGATAATGACAGAATTTAGATTTGGGGCAAGACGGACCACTGTGGTCCATCTTACCCTGTGGTGGTCCATTGTACCCTGCATATGGAAAGTTCTTTTCCAAAAAATTGACACAAGTTTAAGTAAGCTAATTTTTCAGGAAGGAGTCTTTGTTGCATGTGAGCCATGCATGCAAGTGCT